TACTACGTGACAAATAATTCACCACCGCCGCCATTTGCATGCCGTCTGACTCTATCCTTGTTACTCGGCTTTATTTTCATCTGCACGTATCATACAAGTCACTTAGCACTGACTCATTATATGTATATTTGTCTATGCCTTCTCCTCCACTAGACAGGAAGAACTATGAGACCAGGTGCTTTGGCTTTGGTTTTTCATTGCTCTGTCTCCAGTGTGGAAAATATCGCCTGGTATCTAGAAAGTGCTAAAAATTACATATTAAGTGAATGGGCCCCTTGAGGAGACAGATGCCGTTTTTCCTTTTTTGTAGGTGGCGGTTAAGCCACATAATCAATAATTGGCAGAGCTGGGCTTCAAAGCCAGATCACTTTGAATACTAAATCAATGTTCTGAACAGCTATGCTACTTTGTCTCAGAGTCTGAGAGGCCAAACTGGTAAGCAGACAGATAATTATAAAATAGGGCAGTTAAAGTGATTGTCTATGGGAACAGAAATCAATTCATTCCTCTGAAGGACAATCTGAGAATAGCCAAAATTTGAAATTGAAACCTCTCTTAAAGGAATTTGTTCAAATCAAATAATCAGATATGAGGGAAACACGGTCCATACACAAGGATGTTTATCCCAGAACTGTTTATAATAGCAAAGAACTGGAACCAACAGAAAAGTCCCCACAAAAGAGTGACTGAGGTGGGACAGAAGTGATATGGAGTCAGGAAGAGACAGAAGATCATGCCCAGTGTGATCAATACCCTAAGGAGCTGGAGGCGAGGTCGTGTGGTTACAGTCTGAGGGTGTGGATAAGGGTCATAAGGAAAGGGACCTTGAGAGTGATGAAGGTTTGGAGGAGCTTTTATGGACAACAGGAGTGCAAGTAACCACAGAGAAATAAGAAAGACTGAGAGATGGTGTAGGTGGCTTAGCTGAAGATGAAGACTTTGAAAGGGGTGATGATCTGTATAGCCGTGTCGTTTTGTAGTAGTATACGGTAAGACCACTGATCCGTGCAGGCTGGAGTTATGCTGGGAATATGTAAGGGAACAGAAAGTGCTGGGTGAATGAGTCTAATAATCTACCAGGTGGTCCAAGCTGGGAAGGAAAGGAGAGGCCAGGAAAAGGCTGACAGACCAGGAGAAGTACAGAGATGAGGGCACTAGATAATGCTTTGGCACACAGAAACAATGCATAAGGGATGTCCCCGAGATCAGAGAGTGGGGTGTAACTGTGCATGAGGTCAAAAGTGAAGCAATTCCAGGTATTAACATCTAGGAATTTATCCTGTGAATAACTGGAGAAAAGTCTGAATAGGAGGGTCCAGAAACTGTGAGCAAAGAGCATTAACTTGGTCATCACACTGGTATTGAAGACTTTTAAGAAAATCACTGGAGCTTGAATGGAGACAGAATGGTTTACTAATTGCCAAGCTGTTGAAAATCAATGGACTTGTTTGTTGATACCTATTTTGTGCCAGTCATTTACACTGGTTTCCTTTTACCTTCATAAGAATCAGTGGCACAACAAGAACAGATAGATTAAAGGCAAGACTTAGAGAGCTTACAACCAATGTCAAAGTTGTGAGTTCATGTGACTGGAAAGATACTGAACAAAGAATATGGAGTTGTCAGTGAAGGGTATGACTCTGAACATCTTAATAGTGTTGGTGGAACATCTTGGTAGAGGCATCCATAAACACTTAGAAATATAGAGCTAAGGCTTGGCAAAAAGGTTTCTGTTCAAGATAACTGATTTCTCTGTTAAAAGCATGGAAGTGATGACTGAGACCAGGGTGTAGCCTGAGGATGGAATATATTGGAAGAAAGGAGATCTCTGGCATATGTTCACATCTGGACACTGGATCACAAGGAGTCAGTAATTGAAAATACGTAAGCAGCATATCATGGTAGACTGTGAAGTTGTCCTACATTGTTTTCAGCTGCTCCCTTCCAGAGGTGAGGTTCACTTCTCCACCTCTTAAATATAGGCTGGCATTGTGACTTACTTTGATTAATGCAGTATACCACAGGGATCTTGTATAAGTTCAGACATAGGTCTCAAGTAGCCCTCAACTTTCTGCTGTCTCAATGGGAACCCTTCTGCAAGCATATGAACACATCTGAGTGAGCCTGCTGGAAGATGAAAGAACATGTGGAGAAAGACTCCAGCTATGTAAGCAAGCTCACCCAGGAAAGCTAAGCCTAAACTAGACCACAGAATCCATCCACTGAGCCCAGGCCAAGTCGGGGATCTGCAGAATCTTGAGCTAATTAAAAAGGCTGTTGGTCTCAGCTATGATGTTTTGGAGTGTTTTTGTTACACAGCATAGATAACCGATACATATATGGTCCCAGAACCAAAAGCAAAAGTAACCTAAGTAAACACACCGTGGAGAAGTCAACTTGGATGGGAACTTGAACAAGAGTGTTTTCCCAGTTCAAAGATGTGGTACGGGAAGGAGCTAAGTAACAAGCTTCAAAGGTAAGTTTTAATTATTTAAAATGGTTACTTCAAGGGCTGAAAGGATAGGGGCAGGAGAATTATAGAATTTCACTTTTAAAATCTGTGCACCCCGTGTATGTGTTGCTTGTATAAATTTTAACAGCTTTATTGGGGATGGTGTACTTTTTCAATATTTATGTCTTAAAAACCAAGGAGTTAGAGGATGGAGGTGAGTAGTTTAGACCAGTGATTCCAGAGAACAGCCAAACAAGCTGTGCCACACCTGGGATGTTTCACAGAATACTGCTGAGTACAGGGTCCTACCTTTGGCTAATCTGATGCAATTAGTGTGGACAAGGGCGGGGAAAGCTGTATTCTCACATAGCTCCCCAGAGGTTGAGGAGGTTGTCAGGGAAGACTAGAGTTCTGAAGACACAGGGCAGGAAATATTTTTATTTTCGGGCTAAAAAGGAGAACAATGATTTTTCAACTTGACCAGCTGAAAACTAGGGTTCCCAGTTAATATCTACAATATCTATTAACAAAACAGCAGTAGGTACGACTTACTGCATGATTACCATGTCCAAACCCTTTTTTATTTTATTTTATTTTATTATTTTATTTTTTTGTTTCCAAGCCCTTTTTGTTACCTTACTTCATATGCAAACTTCCCGATTTTACAGATCAAAAAACTGACACTCAGAGAGAGAATGTCCTTTGTCCTAGGTTAGCTAGGTAGAGTAAGGATTTAAATACAGATTACCTGCGTCAGTCTTTTGTTTTTACAGGAAAAAAAAAACTAGTTACAACATGCAATCAACTCAATTTAAAAATCTTTTTCTCATACATGAATTAGGCCTTTGACATTCGCTATCACTTATTTTCACTAGACTCTGAGCTCATTTGGGATGGGAAGGAATTATATCTTTATCCCCTTATCTCTAGGACCTGGCACATAGTTTGTTGAATATGTGAATGTGTAATTTATGATCTGAACACAAGATTCCCCATTTTAAAATTAATATTCCAGTCATTTTAGAGGGTTTTTTTTTTTTTTTTTTCCGGTACCGGGAATCGAACTCAGGACCTTGCGCTTGCCAGGCAGGCGCTGTGCCGCTGAGTTAAATCCGCAGCCCCATTTTAGAGCTCTTGTCTATGGGGACAAGTTCACTGGGACGGTCAGGAGGTGGATTGCAGATTGCGAGGGTTATACCTTCATTAAGGATTGATGAGAAAATATTTTTCCCTAGAGGAGGCAGTGAATGCAAAGCAGGGAAGTGGATCCATCTCTGGGAGGGGGATGGGACAAACTTGGACAGGTCCATGACCGATGTGAAGATGGAAGGTAAAGACGGAAGAAACAGATGGGACCCAAGGGAGGCGAGATGTAGGGAGCCTGAAGAGGGGTCTTAGGGGAATTAGCCTGGGGACGGAGGCACATCTGTTTCTCTGAACCTAGGAAAACAAAGGCTGTCAGAGATGCAGCAGCAGTGCTAGGGATTGAACCCAGGGCCTTCTCGCTGCTACATCCCCCAGCCAACCTTTTTTTTTAATTTTAAAATTTGAAGACAGGGTCTTGATTAACTGCTAAATTGTCCAGGCTGAGCTCGAACCTTGTGATCCTCCTTCAATCCCTCCTCAGGGTGCTGAGATTCCCAGTGCGGGCCACCACGCCCAGCTAGGATTTTTCCAGGGGAGAAAGAGCAGTGGAAAGTTGCAGGTTAGGAAGGTGAGAACAGTTCAGTTGATGAAGTTTCTCTTCCAGCCTTCACCATAGAGGGCCATGAATCAAAAATTTAGCTCCAAAAACTGGCGACCGTCAGGGAGTTGCGAACTTTTCTTTTTGACTACTATGTCTATCAGCACGGTTTTATTTGAAATAGAGAAGTGGTATTTAACGCATCAAAAAAGGTGGAGCCAATACAATCTCAGAATACATCTACCACTTTATCACCAACTCACTGCGCTGTCCTTATTTTTCTCATTTCGCCAGGGAGGATGATTCCATCCTCCAGGACAAGTGCGTGGGGAGCGCGGCTGCAACCCGCCCACGCGGACAGCAGCTTCCCCTCGCCACTGGCCGGGCGCCTGGCAACCCGGGGCTCCGGCGCCCGGACCGCGGGGGGCGCGCTGCGGTTCGCGCCGGAGCAGGTCGAGGGCAGTCAGTCGGCACTGAGCCCGCAGCCAGCCGCTGTCCATGCCGAGTGCCAGCGGGGCGCAGACCCCTGGATCCCGGGGCGCCGTGCCCGCCCGGCCCGCAGCCCGCCACGCCTTTCCGCGTGCTTCCAGCGCCCACGACGCCCGCGGGGCAGCGGGTGGGGGTCTCGGTGCCCGCGCACCCTACTCCAACAGCTCTGCGCGCGACTAGTGAGGACGCCCTCGCCCGAGCTCCGGCCCGCGCAGCGGAGGCCCTGCGTACCCGGCGCCCCAAGCCCGAGCCCACTTGGGGGTCTGGTACCCACGCCCGCGCCCGCCCCCTGGGCCCGCGGCTCCAGCAGGCGCGCGAGCGTCCTCGGCGCCCACGCGGGTCGGCCCGGCGCAGCCCTCCGTGCGCGCGCCCTACCTGTCGTAGCTCCAGCGGCTGTAGGACAGGGTCCGGTGGCTGCTGACTCCCTCCATCGCCGCCTCCGGACTCGGCTCCCGCTCGGAGGGCGGCGGCGGCTGCGCCCGGCTCCGCGATTCCCAGCCGGCGGCGGTCGGGGCGCGGGCGGAGGACTGTACCATTCGCCCCCCAACGGGGGTGACCCCCCCCCCATTCGGCTGTGCCAATGGCAAAGGCGCTCCGGTTGCGGGGATCCGAGCCCGTGGGGCCCCCTCCCCTGAGCGCGGGTCCCGCGGGGGCGCGGCTGCGGCAGCCCTACTGCTTATTTATTTATTTCCGAGGTGCGCCCCGCGTCGCCATGGCAACCGCTCCATCTTTTCTGGCGTCACTAGGGCACCGCTGCTTTCAAACCTTCCCGGGACAGGGACTGCTGAGAAGCTGTTCTGTCTGCTTGCGTGGGAATCCCGGATACGGTGTCTTTACTCAACGCCCTTCTGCAGAGATGTCCCCTCCTTTTTGGCGTGGGTTCCCCCCCTTTTTGGGAACGGGGATATCCACCCTCTTCATTTCCTAGATTCCAGCCTTCTCCGCCCCCGCTTCCCCAACTGGAAGTCCTTCTTTTGCCACCTTTCTTTCCTCTCTTCCAACAGCCTCCCCTTACCGGGAACAGAAGGCCATCCTTCATCCCTCATCCCTCTTCCCTCACCGGATTGCCCGGGCCAGTTATTTAGCATAGTGTAGCTAAGTTCTATAAACACTCCCATTTCTAGGTCATCTCGTTCTGTTTATGTCCCTTTGTGCTTTCCCTTCATTACTAAAAATCCTTTGGGAAATGTCCAATTGTCTTGGTTCAACCAGGAGAGAGTGGCTTCTTTATATCCTGCTGATGGGGAGCCAAGGAAGAAGGCGAAGGACAATGGTTGTCTGGCTGGGGTTGATGGGATAAGCAGAGGCAGCTCGGTCACTTCGGTCTGCCAGGCCCCTCTTGCCCTTCCCCCACCTGAGCCGCTGGCTGCAGGGATTTACAGGTATAATCTTCTTGCCTTCCCGCCGAGGTCACACAAGCCTAAGAAGGACCTTTCAGTGCAGCTGTTATGGGCAGCTTGTGCTCACTTCCCGTGCGGGTCAGAATCCTAGTGGAGGCGCTCAGGTTCCCTGGAGGTGGAGGGCAAGGAGGTAGGCCTTGGGCTGCTCCTGTTTGGAACCTGCCAACTCCTGTGAATGTAGAGTTAACCCTGTGTGTTACAGAGCTTGCAGCTGGCAGTGCACCTGTTGAATCCAGTCTTTAATGTGTTTGTCCTGAACAGTGTTTTTTCATTGAATAAATTGATGACACTTAAAAATCAGAAGATTTGATAGCCGATCGATCTAGTTTTCCATCCTCTCTCTAATGTTAAGAAAATCTGGCCTCTGTGGGGTTATCTTGCCTTCCACATGGCTGGCACAAAGATGTTCTCCATTCAGGAGCCAGACAACACGTTGTTCTACGAGCCTCCAGTCTCACCCAGCCAGCTTTTCTTGCATAGATTATGGGGTCCCTGTTGCATTTGAGTTTGCCACCCATATGCGATATAGTCCTTTCTGTGACCCCCAAAGTTTCCCGACTGGCTCTCAGAGCTGCCCAGATCATATTTGAGCAAGGGCCATTGTGTTACTCTTGACTGTCAACTGGATTGGAAGAAGAAGCACTTAGGAAATTAGTAAAGCACACTTCTGGATGTGTCTGTGAGCGTGTTACAGAGATAACCGGCATGTGGGACAGCACACTGACGGGGGACACCCACCCAGAATGTGCGTGGCATCATCCATTACGGTGGGGTTTTGGGTGGAACAAAAGCAGAAGGAAACCTGATAGCACAGCCTCCCCTCTCCCATCCCAGTCTTTGCTTCCTGGCTTCCAGCAGGTGAGCAACTTTGCTCCACCATGCCCTCCACCCCACCATAATGTTCTGCCTCACTGCAGGCTCTTAGTGTCGTCACTCTGTAATGCCTTCTTTTCTTGTTCAGGGAGAGGTTCGCTTCTCTCTCTGGGAGTTTGAGGTCTCCTACAGAAACTGCAGGCAGGAAGCCACTGCTCTTGACCCATATAAGACAAGGCCCAAGGAAATCCTTCCTCCAAAGGACAAATGGAAATGTAACAGGGCCAGCAAAGGAATTATCTCAAAAAGAGAGGTACTCCTTCCTGTGGCATCATGACCATCCTCCAGTTCATGCTAGCTCAGAACCAGAGGGCGCAGGGGCCTCCTGAGACTGACACCAGGCGCTGGCTGCCAGGTCCCTGCAACCTGCCCAAGTGAGGCCTCTGGAGGTGGTAGTGAGATGCACAGATTCCGCAGAGCCCAGCTATTTGACACAGTACTAGAGTTCTCTGGCTGTAAGAGCCAGTAGCAGGTATACTGATCTCAGCTCCAAATCCTGATTCCTCTAGAAGGAGAAGCCAGATTAAGGCCAGGTGTGCTGAGCTTTAGCTGAAAGCCTTGGGGAGCCTAATACCCTAGACATTGCTAGGCAGATAGAAGAGCCAAACAAAACAAAACAAAACAAAACACACCAGGAAAAAGACCCTCATCAGTGCCCTAGTTATGAGTTAACATCCTGTGGGAAGGGGACATATGACAGTGTTTTTATTTCTTTTGTGATGGGGTTTTGCTAGTAGTAGTCTGGGCCAAACTTGAAATTTCTATGTGGCCCAGGCTGGCTCAAACTTACAATTCTCCTGCCTTAGCCTCCCAGGTACTGGGATTATGGATATGCACCACCACTCCTGGCATTACATGTGGCAGTTTTAAAGCCTGTCTTCAAATGCTTAAATATTCCCCTCATTGATCTATGTTGTCCGCCCCAAACTATGAATTCAAAGTCAGATAATAAAAATTCATCAGTGTTCCCTTGTTCACTGGAGCCCTGAGTCACCGAGTTAGAAGTCTGATTACTGTGAAAATGCCATGCTACAAGGAAGCCTAAGCTATAAGGACTGGTCATATGCCAGTGCCTCAGTTGACAGTCCCAGCTAAACCCAGTCTTGGGGTCCCTACAACCACCAAGAGTAACAAACAGAGCGATCATATAAAATAAATAAATTCAGGATTCAGCACCCTGCACCATTTCTGGCTGTTTGCAGATGTCTCTACCTACTGTGATTCTGAAAGTTGGGCTTTTCTATGGGGTTCATTCCCTAGACATACTGACACATGCATGCCCAAGGTCAAGGGGTGAAGATGTCTGTTTCTGCTCTGAGAGATCAGCTTCTTCAGGTAGCAAGCACTTTGACACAGTAATGGGCCATTCTCACTCCCACACTCACAGGATGGTGACTTCACCATCCCAGGCCCAACTACCGCTACAATGCAATCTCATTCAGTAACCCCTACTATAGACTGAATATTTGTGTTCTCCCAAGATGAGTATATTAAAATCTAGCTCCTAAGGTTATTTGGGAGATGACTAAGTCATGAGGCCTGAGAAAGTCCCCAGCCCCTTCATATGAGGACACATCAAGAAGACAAGTATCTGGAAGCCAGGAAGTAGGCCCTTAGCAGACTCTGAATCTGCCCAGTGCCTTGATTTTGTTGCTACTTTGATTTCATCTGGGACCCATTGGTTATTCAGGAGGATGTTATTTAATTTCCAACTGTTTATGGAGTTTTTGTGTTTTCTTTTGTCATTAATTTCTGATTTCATGGCACTATGGTCTGATAGTATACATGGGATAATTTCAATTCCTTTGCATTTACTTAAACATGTTCTATGTACTAGTATATGGTCTATTTTAGAGAACGTCCCATGTGCAGCTGAGAAGAATGTGTATTCTGATGCTGTTGGATGGAACACTTTGTAAAGGTCTACTAAGTCCATATGTTCACAAGTTTGGTTAAGTTCTGTTATTTCCCAATGGTTTGTCTACTTGATCTATTTCTTTGTGACAATCGTGCATTAAAGTCCCCTGTTATGATTGTGTTGCTGCTTATTTCATTTTTCTTGTCTGTTAAAATTTGTCTTATATAGGTGGGTGCTCCTATATTTGGTGCATAGATGTTTATGATTGTTATCTCTTCCTCTTGAAGCTTTTCTTTCACAAGTATGTAGTGACCGTCTTTATCTTTTTTGATTGTTCTTGGTTTGAAGTTCACGTTGTCTGCAAACAGAATAGCTACACCTGTTTTTTTCTGGGTTCCTGTTGCATGGAGTATAGTTTTCGATCCTTTAATTTTCAGTCTATGAATTTCCTTTTGAGTTAAATGTGTTTCTTGTATACAGCATATAGTTGGATTTTGTTTCCTGATGCACTGTGCTAGTCTGCTTCTTTTGGTTGGTGCATTGAAGGGCCTTGATTTTGAATGTCCCAGTCTCAAGAGCAGCAAGAATAAAATTCTGGTGTTTATAAGGTATCCAGTGTATGGTATTTTTGTCATAGTAAGTCCAGTAGACTAAGGCAACCCTCACTCCTGTCTACCCCAAACACACAGTAGAGTTTGTTCATACAGAACACTGTCACCCTTTCTAAATCTTCAAGATTTTTACAAGTGGAGATATGGGAAGAGGGATCTAAGGGGTCCACATAGACTTACAGGTACTTTTTCTTAACATCTCTAACCCTGCTGTCTGAGGCAGGAGCATCCCTGTGTATCTCCCCAGAAAAGAAGCCCCACCCTTGATAGCTCCAGCTCTCTTTGAGTAGGGGTGAGGGACACCTGGTATGGGCTGCTTGGAAGCCTGAGCAAGAGACCAGGCGGGGCTGGCAGCTGAGTGTGCCGAGAGAGAGTCCAGGTTCAGCCATCAGTTTTCAAGCAGAGCCAGAAGCTCTTAAAGTTCTTGGTAGAGGCAATGATTTGGAAAACCATGGGTTTCAAGAGCAATTGCAGAGTTAGGATTATTCATGTGGTTGAAAAGGTTTATTGAGTATCAGGAATTAAGATTGTCTACTTTTTAAAAATAGGTAAAACTCTTGCTTCTTTGCCATTGTTCTTTTATTATTGTTTTTTTTTTCCATACTATAGAGAAATAGAGATCAGAGACTGAAACTATAAACTATAGTTGATGTTAGCTTTATTGAAAGTTCAAGTCACAGAACGCCATTTCTGGCATCTCTGAAGTTAAGATTAGTGAAGACATGACCAGATGTGAGATATCATCATTTGTGTTTACAACAAGTATATATGAATAGGCATGTTGTTTAGATTTATATTAATATTGGAATATTCACGTACACATAGACAAATGTTCTAGGTAGAACTTGGAGAGAAAGATCATTTCACATGTTTTATGAGTTAAAATTTCACCATGTATTTTATTGCATGTCTTACTCACTTTCCTCATTGCTGGGACAAATATCCAACACTCTCAATG